GGGGAGCTGCCACAGGGCTGGTGGGGGGGGGCGCAAGGTGGAAGTTTTGCCTAGGGCGCGAAACTTCCTTGCACCGGCCCTGGACGTAACACGCTGCTGGCTGGTCACAGGTTCACACCAAGGTTCAGGGACAGACAAGTTCTTCCACAATACATTGCAGAACAATTGCTATTGTTTTACTACTTCATGATAATATTAGGGGGTGCATAATTCTACCTAGACAGTTTCAGGGAGGATCTTAAAATGGACATTCACCTGACGGACAGCTGGATCGTAGCCCCCAGAATCATGATTCATTTATCATTCGATGAGCCAAGGTAGGGTGGTCTGGTGGCTAAGATGCTGGGCTGTGATTCTAAAGATCTGAGCTTGCTCTGCCGTAGACTTCCTGTGTGATCATGGCCAAGCCACTCCAATCTCTCTGGACCTGAGTTCCCAGCTGTAAAATCAAGGTGTCAGTACTTCTCTATTACATAGGAGTGCTGCGAGTAGTTGTGGGGAGCGGATCTGCTGGTGCAGTATACATTGGTGCGCCATCCTCTTGCAGGGGTTTCTGGACAAGCTTTAAAAGAGAATAACGAGGAGTCCGGTGGCACCTTAAAGACTAACCGATTTATTTGGGCATAAGCTTTTGTGGCTAAAAACCCACTTCTTCAGATGCAGTCTCCATGCATCTGAAGAAGTGGGTTTTCCACGTAGGAAAGCTTATGCCCAATTAAATCTGTTAGTCTTTAAGGTGCCACCGGACTCCTTGTTGTTTTTGTAGATACAGACTAACACGGCTACCCCCTGATACTTCTTTAAAGGAGAATGTAAATCATCAAGTAATTGCAATATTTTCTTTTTTATTATAATTTCCCCAAATACTGAATTGGCCAGATTTCCATCAGTGTCCGCACTGGCATCAACTTGTCTTGAGGATCGGAGCCGCTGGGTACGTTGTCCTGCTGATGACAGTCATAGTGCTGAGTGTTTGGGGTAAGTCACTCCACACCAGTTATTCCCTTGCAAGCATATCACAGGCAGTCAGAGCACAGTAATACCTATCGTTAAGGCATTTCTGTTACAAGGGACATTTTTTGGTTCTTATAATTTCCCACAGTTTTCACATTTTGAGCTAATTTTTCCCGTTCATTCTTAGCAAAATTTTTAAAAAAAGTTTGAGCAAAAGTAGCTCAGACGTTCTTGGATATGACAAAAGTGGGGAGGGGAAAATAGGCTTGTGACATTTTTTTTTAACACCTCTGACAGCTTAACAGGGAGTTTGCCGTAGAAATGAGTTGGGGAACCAGAGAACCAGCTCCCCTAGGAATTGGGCAGCCCAGAAGTGAGGCATTATATTTGGTTGCAATTTATGTTTTATTTTTAAAATTGGTTAAAAGAGCTACTCGTCTAAGCAGCAGTTGTTTTTGATGGCCTAGAAAAAAGATTTCTGTCTAACACAAGACGTCGAAACGAACTTGTTGTTGTCGTTAGTATTCAGGGCTTCTCTGATTTTCTTGCTCAATGTGTCAAACGGTTTCATAACATCAAACAGGGGACACATCCAACAAGGAAATAAGATGAGCGCTCAGGCTGTTTAAGACAGCCGGTAGCTGCTGCTTTTTAATAATTTTAAAAAGAAAATGAAATGAAAAGAAATTGAAAAATAGAACCAAATATAAAAACTCAATAAAAACTTTAATGATAAACAATACAAATAAAAAATTGATTTCAAAATTTTGAAATATTTCAGCATTTCTTTTTGAAATTTTCCAATGCACTTGTTTTGATTTTTTTCCCTAAACGATATTTTTTTTAAAAATTTCCACTCCACAGAAAATTGAGAAATTTCTACTTTTTGTTCCAAACAATTTTGGAATGAAAATGTCATCAGAATGCAGTGGCACAGAAATTTGAATGTCGATCCACTCTACTCATCAGTTTGGGGGAGACATTTAAAAGTTCTAGGCCTTGAACATATGGGTCACCAACGTTCCTTTCTGTGGTTCCTTAACATTTTGATTTGGGGACAGTCTAAGAATTTGTTGTTGCTGTTTTTTAATAGGTCAGTGTGCATGCGCAGTGATTTTTGTTATACTAGGAGGATGGTTTTTAATAGCAGATCTGCTCCCTTAGCACTTTGCTTGCAGATAGAATTTAAATGGAATTTCTCCAATGCCGACATGGAGGGTTTCCCCAGTTTAACTAAAGGTGTGAATTTAAACCAATTTAGTTAAACCGACACAACCCCAGTTGTTGACCCTCTTATTTTGGCTTAATGTGATTGGGAGCAGATTTAAGCAAAACTGAAATAAGGGCACTGCTAGGAGTGTTAGTGATGATCATGTAGTATTCAGGGTGGTATATTTGCCTGAGGTAGGCGTCGAGGCAGTCTTCAAGTGTACGCTTGTATATTACACTCCCACTCTATCCAGCAACACTTTAGCTCTCTCGCGTATCTCTTTTCACCCCGTCTGCGTGTGGGCAGATGTAACACACGGCGTCTTTGTTCTTTGTTCACACATATTAGTAAGAATATAAAAATATCAAAAGGCAAATGGGCAAGCAACTCAAGACCCCACATTCTATCTCAGGCAAATATACAGGCCGAATACTACACTATCATCACTAGCACTCCTAACAGGCATCCCCACTAATTAAACCAGTGCTCGTTTGTGTGTGGACAAGGCTTGTATAATCCGTAAGCATGGCATTGGCTCTACACATGCATGTGTGAGAAGGTTAAGGAGCATTTCATTTCTGATGTGAAGCTGCACTTGGGATAAGGTAGAGGTTCGAAGGAGCCCACCTCAATCTCCGTGATCAATGAACGCAGGTAATGAATTACATAGGGCTGTTTAGAAGTTCAGCTCCTTTTAATGCTCAAAATTGTGCACACAAAGAGGCAGGGCTCCGCCACGGTGCCCATTTTGTGCAAGGTGGAAGAAAATAGTAGGTATCCCATCACGGAATGGCTTTGATACAGTTCAGGGGGGGAGTTGCTTTTTTTTTTTTAACTCAGGCAATGCCATAGAAAGATTACAAGGACCTTATTGAGGTGGCTAAGTCAAGCAGTTAGGAACTAGGACACGCCAGCGATCCCTGTGCAAAACCTGAATTCAGCCCCCCTTGTGTGTTGGCGTCATGATAATTACATGAGCATGCGCTGGTTTTTTTCCATGGAACCCCCCCGCCTCAGACAGTGCACAGGATGGGCAGTGCTCACAGCACCTGTGGTAAAGGTGCAGGTCCAGAAATCAGAAGAGGTTATGCAAATGATGCAATGCCCTGATTTGCATACATCTTTGCTCTCCTCAATGATTTCCATCCTTTCTAACTGGCCCCTCCTTGCTTAAATCCCCCCCTCTGTCTCTGACTGGGGGCTGGTTGTGGACGAGGGGGGCAGTTTCTAAGGAGAGAGTCCTGGAAAACCCCTAGGAGTCCCTATGTTTTCAGATCCTAGAGCGGTTTTCCAATGTTGTAACCATAGAGACTTTGCCTAGAGCAGGGGTGGGCAAACTTTTTGGCCCGAGGGCCACATCGGGGGTGCGAAACTGTATGGAGGGCCGGGTAGGGAAGGCTGTGTCCCCCAAACAGCCTGGCCCCTGCCCCCTGTCTGCCCCCTCCCACTTCCCGCCCCCTGACTGGCCCCCTCAGAACCTCCAACGCATCCAACCCCCCCTGCTACTTGTCCCCTGACCCCCCCTCCTGGGACCTCCCACTCCTAACCACCCCCTACAGGATCCCACCCCCCTACTCCAACCCCCCTCGTTCCCTCGTCCCCTCGACTGCCCCCTCGGGATCCTCTGCCTCTTATCCAACCCCCCCACCACACACACCCCACGCTCTCTGCCCCACTTACCATGCTGCTCAGAGCAGCAGGAGCTCATAGCCCCGCCGCCTGGCCAGAGCTAGCCACACCGCCGTGCTGCCCGGCAGGAGCAGCGGGCCAGAGCACTGGTGGCGCAGCAAGGTGAGACTGCAGGGGACGGGGGACAGTAGGAGAAGGGACGGGGGTTAGCCTCCCTGGCTGGGAGTTCAAGGGCCGGGCAGGACGGTCTCGCGGGCCCGATGTGGCCTGCAGGCC